GAAAAGTAAAGCGAAGAAAAGAAAAAAGAAAAGTAAAGCGAAGAAAAAGTTAAGGGAATCTTTTACGGGAAAAGAAAATAAAAACGAAGAAAAAAATTACGTCTTAATAAGAGCAATAGTAATAATAATGATGATGATGCTAATTAATAAAAGCAAAAGGAGTAAGTTTTCGTTTGAAAAACTTGTGTCTGCAATAATGTTGTACGAGTAGCGCTCTTCCGGGAGAGACAGTTTTTATTCCTTTCTATCTTATTTATTCGTCAACGTGGAATGTAATTATTGCATACAATGCAATGTTAGTTTAACAACAACCGTCACCTGGACTTTCAACATCCACTCATTGATAAAATTCTCAAACAGTGATTAAATACGCCACAAAGCAACCGTACATTTGTCCACGCCATCGTCGTGGTATTATTAACTCGACAATTAGTCTCTACACCACCAACCCTGCCACAAACTTCTATCTCATGTGAGGAAGAAAAAAAAAAAAACAAACAAAAAACGAACTTTTAGCTTTAGTTCAAAACGAATGAAAGTGTAGAAAGTTTTTTTTTTTTTTGTTAAGTTGAGCACGTAGAAATCTATATATAAAAGTAAAGTTGATTTTCTGTCCATCACACACTGTGGGATTTTGCGTGTATGATTTACATGTGTTTGTGCGTTTTGATGTAAACACACACACTGAAATTTAAAGTATAAATTCTTACAAAGTCTGGACAACCCCTACACTTAGCTGATCAATAAAAATCAATTTTTTTTTAAATAATCAGTAGTAAAATTGTTTAGCTTTTTAAAAATTATTTAGAAATGACGTCTGTTATACACATGCATACACAGAGACGTAGACACACAATTTGAACGAAATTGGAGTGGATATCTATTTCTGGGGTTAAATTTGTCCTGTTGGGAAACAAACCCTGGGTGAAAGGGGAAAACAGGAAAACATTTTCATAACTCTTTTTGTATTTTGAAACTAAATATATTTTCTAATAAACATTCTAAAAATGGACAAACAATTTAAATGCAAAATTTGATAATCTTGCTGTCAGATATGTGAAGGGTACAGATCTAGTATAAGTTAGAAGAGAAGCCTTTTTTCTTTAAAATATCAGCTCAAAATTCTGTCTAGAAAAACAGCAAAGAAAGAAGTTGAGTGACAAAAATGTGACAATACGAAAACGTTTCGAAAGATATTACTGATAGTCACGATATAATCTACTAAATCTTAATTTTCATAAAGTAGTATTCTTATAAAATACGAATTTTATTGTAACCTAATTATATACAATAACGGATCATATGCAATAGAGGTGAATAATTCAGGAAGAAAAATTGGAAATAAATACAATATATCTGAATACAAAGAGACATGTTATAATAGATCATTCTGTTTTAAATAAAATCAACAATGTGTTGCGACAGTTTTTAACATCAACTTGAGATTTCTCTAGTTAAAAAGTTGAATAAGTTTAACACGTCCAACATTACAGATAAAAAAATAGTAAATTTTATATATTATGTTTATTTTTCAAACTTAACATGAGCAAAAAAAAAAAAAGAAAAAAAAAAAAAAAAAACTCGTTCTAAGTATGACAAACTACATTCGTCAGCAAGGCCTCTGATCGGGAGATTGGAAGTTTTTAGGATCGTGGAACCACCTCTAATTCTTGTTGTTCTCAGGTCAACCCTGACACAGGGTGGTATCACCTGTTAGGGTCCCAACTATAGGCAAATAGCAAACTCCTAAACTGGGATTAAAAAAAAAAAAAAAACTGAAAATATAGATTAAATAAAGAATAAAATTTTTGTAAAAAAAGAAAATACAAGCAACAGATTTTTGTACAAAGAAAAAAAAATTACTCAAGTACCGAAGAAAATTAAATTTCGGCATTAAATGACTCATAAGGAGTTGATATGCCGTTAAACAAACAAAACGGATTTGCAAAAATAAATAAAATAAAATGTTAAGATGGCGAGAGTCACAAAGCAATGTCTGGGGCCTCCAATTAGGTTTAGCTCTCCCAGTCGGGGGGTAGTACGCACCGGCCCTGTTGTAGATAAAATGTATTGTTAGCAATTTTACTGTAAAAAGTGTATTTTTTATACTTTTTTTTAGTGTTGTATTGTTTATCATTTTGCTATAAAAATGGATTGTTCGTAATTTTTTTTTATTTAAATATATTGCTGGTAATTTCACTGTAAAATGTATTTTTAATGTTTTCCTGAAGTTTTACTTTTTGTTTGGGAGTTTACTATTTACCCATAGCTGGGACCCAAACAGATACAAAGTCAACCGACCCTAAAAGCAGAGACCCACTTGATTAGGATTATCGGGGGACCGGACGTAATGTAGCTGTAGTAACAATGATCTTTCCTGGGTAAGACAGCCTGACGCAATCCAACTTTCTGCAGGATGGTTTGAATTCAGAGTTTTTTTTTTTCTTCTAGTCTCCAACCAAGGCTATAGTACCAGTCTGTCCTGGAGAGAAGAGATGGATTCATACCTTTTTCCAAGGTAAGCGAGTGGAATTTGAACTCGAATGGAATATGATCCCGGCTCGATGATTATTCAGTCCGAGCCGGTATCCATTACTCCACCATGCCTCCACAAGAAAGATAATGTACGTGTGATGAGTTGGGCTATTACACATTTCGTGTTCTTAAAACGCAATGAAACACTAAAAGCACATTTCAACGTCCAGCGGCTGCAACATGTCCGTAAAAGTTGTCAAAACGTGTCTTGCACTCGTCAATAGGAAACATTTTATTACCCTTCATGAAAACGCAAGGCCACATACAGCAAGAAAACAATGGCAAAATAATCTGGAACCTTGTTGGTCTGCTCTGCCCAGCACGCCATGTTCACCCCACCTTTCACCAACCGATTTTTACCTTTTACGATCGCTGCAAAATACTTTGCTGGAGTTAAAAACGGATTACATGCCACAGTGTAAAGGGCAGGGGATTGGCAAAGAAAAATCTACACGACCGACCCCAAAAGCCGAGCTCCATGGAAGAAAAGTAATGTAGTCTGTGTGGTGGAATCATCTTGATAATATTCATAAGAAAGATAATGTCCGTGTGATGGGATTGTTGGAGTATTATTCATTTAGAGTTCATAAAACGAAGTGAAACACTAAATTCCCATTTCTACGTCCAGCAGCTGCAACATGTCCATAAAAGTTTCGTTGACAGTGTCCAGCGTCAAGAAGAAAAATGTTACTCTACTCCATGACAAAGAAAAAAAAAACTGGAAGAGATTTTGGAAGTCGGTTCCTCTGTTCTTACCGCAACCCGCGTTATTCACTTGCCCTTACACCAGACGATTATTAGCATTTTTGATCACCGCAAATGTTTTTGTCTAATGAAAAATAGATTCAGCTGTTCGAAAAGTTTTTCCCATCAAAACCAGAAGCTAACGAAGAGTATACCGATAAGTGGCAACAAGTCATAGCAAAAAAAAAAAAAAAAAAAAAATGGTGAATATATTATTGAATTCATCTACCGTAACGAAAGTTGGTTCTCTGTATCGAACCAGAAAGTTTTTTCTCGGCTGAATCCATTCTTCAAATCTATAAATCAAACATTCGTCCTTACATGGAATTCTGTTGCCATATATGGTCTGGTGCCCCTGCTGTTCATTTCGAGGTACTCGACAAAATCCAGAGATGGATATGCAATGTGATAGATCCTGCTCTGGCATCTCGTCTACGCTCGCTTTCTCACAGACGTGCTGTGGCTTCCCTGTGTCTTTTCTACAAATATTTTCTTGGCAACTGCTCTGACGAGCTACTTTCACTGGTACCCCAACTGCATGAATTTAAGCGTGCTACTAGGTTGGCATCTCGGTCCCACCTTTTCACTGTCGAAACAGTTAAATGTAGCCGTCTCTTCTACTCCAACAGCTTCTTTTCTTGCACTTCCTTTCAGCGGAACTCCCTTCCTCTTACTTGCTTCCCTGATGGCTATAATATTCAAATATTCAAATGTAATGTCAATCGACATCTTCTGATACCTTGATCCTGATCCCCGTCTTTTTTTTATACCCGTTCCTTAAACACCCCTCTTTACTCTTGCTCTCACTCTGCTTTAAAAAAATAAAAAATAAAAATAAAAATTGGCAATGATAAGTCTTCGCTACCGACACCAAAATCTGAGCCCCATGGAAAATAAAAGGCAATTTCTTTTGGTGTGGTCGTATCATCGAAGTATTATACATCTGGACCATCTTAAGCGCAATGAAACGCTCAAGCATATTTATGTGTCCAGCAGCTGCAACCTGTCTATAAAAGATTGGTGGAAAAGCGCTCGTCAACAGGAAAAACGTTGTCCTCCCGTTTTAACACCCGCAGCTATCTTCCCATGACCTTATACCAACCGATTATTACCTTTTTCAACCGTTGAAAAACGCTTTGATGTCAGAAAGTATTTTTAAAAAGAAAACTAGAATCTTCGAAAAAATCTTTTACATCAAAACCTGCGGAATGTTACTCAAAGTTTATCGAAGGACTGCCTGATAAGCGGCAAGAAATCTTTGAATATATAACTGAATAAAATGTCATTGTATTTACACTATTTATGTTCGGACTATTGTCCACATCAGTGTTGTTGTCACAACGTTTCGGTCGTTGTGATTTCGGCCTTCATCAGATCTATATAGATCTGGATATCCTACAGGGGATTCTGAACTGAACCATTTATTTATCGATCCGTTTTCATCGGTCTATCAACCTTTTGCAGGTTATTTAAAGACAGAAAATATTTTTAGATTCTAAGAATGTGTTTCTTTTTTTTGTTTGTTTTTTGTTTTCTTTTAGATAATGATTTAGTGGTACAAGTCTTACTGTGTCGGAGGGAAGGGGAGAAGAGGTGGATTCATACCTTTCCCCAAGGGTATTTGTACGTAAGTGAATATAACGAACCCAGCAGGGATTGAAACTCGGCTCTCTAACTAACAATTCCAAGCCATCATCCATTACACCACCCGCACATCCACACTGGTATTCCCAAACAGTCACCCATTTAGGTACTGACCAGGCTCAACGTTGCTTAACTGCTGTGATCGTACGAGAACTAATGTTTCAACATGATATGGCCATAACCCTATAAACCCTTTGTGTAATCTAGGGGGGGTGCAGGCTGTTCTTGTTGCTTTGCTCTAGAGATATCTCGTCTAGTTCTTATTGTTACTACTGCTCAGTTATTGCTTACCCTGTTTCCACTGATTCCAAGTACACACTGCCCGGCTCAGGGATTGAACTCATAATTACTATGACAGTAACAACTACCTCAAACAATTATTTTCATCTCACCCGTATCCCTAATAATATTATTCACTCCTCCTTTATATACAGTGTAACCCGGATATAAGAGAGTTGTCGGGACCGGAGACGAAGTCTTTTATATCCGGGTTTGGTCTATTTTGTTTACATTAACACAGGCTCTAATTTGGGACCTGAGAAAATCTCTCTTATATCCGGGTTACACTGTATCGTGATGTCGGTTTTACTTGCATTCAGTGGAAAAAATGACGAGCAATAACGAAGCAGTGCTAAAAATAAGATCTAGACGAGATATCCCTAGACATCGTCAGTGGAACATTCTACGCCTGTAGATTCAATAAAAGGTTTAGTCCAGAATTCCTTGTAGGTTACCCACATTGATGAAAGCCGGAAGGTACAATGGCCGAAATGTTATTAAATAAATCAATAAAATAAAATAAATAAATAAATAAAATAATATAAGTTACAATTATATTTCTGTCCGAATTTCTGGGATGAGGTATTATCATTATTTACACTATTTTATTCGGACTATTATCCTCACAACAGACGATGTCAATGGTCCAAATACAAATAATGTAAACTAGCGGTATAACCAGTCTTTGACCGGGTCTTTCATTACTGGGAATTCTTGCCGTTCACTTGGAGCAGTTTAAGTTTAAAGTCAGCCCACCAGAAAAATCAATATTAGTAACAACAATTGGATGCAACTGAGGCACATACCCAAATGGGGGGGGGGTTAACAATTTGAAGGGTGGTGACCCTGAAAAGAGCCGTTTTTGCGTTCTTAATCTTGCAAGGATGGAAATTCCATGGACAGTCTTAATAATAATAATAATAATAATAATAATAATAATAAACGATAATTTTTATTTATATTTTTTTTTTATAATTCTAACAATCTTTTGCGTTAGATTTCAACTCTCTAAATTGATTGTACGCTGACAGACATTAAATTTTGCCTTTGATTTTTGCACAAAATGTAAGAAAAAAAAGCAGGTTTTTCGATTTTTCACTTTCACGGTTATAATTTGTTTTCCAGCCAATTTGGACTCAAAACCGGCATTGAAAAATTATTTATCAAACAAAATAATTTAATCGAAATCAGGTGAAAACTTTGGAAACGCATAAACAACATCCAATCACAAACACACTCTCACACACACGCATTTTGAGAATTATAGATAATCATAATTTCTCACCCTAGAAATTCGGATAAAAATATAATTGTAGCTTATTTGTTGAAGAGTAACGTTTACTTAGAATTCTGTTATATTTTTACTATTGTTCTCACAATACAAGGCCCAAGAGCCATTCAAAGTTACTGAATGAGGTTGTTGAAAGTAGATAACTTGACCAGAGACTTAAGTTAATGATCACAGAGCATCATCTTGGGAGTCTGTTCAACAAAGTAGTGGTTCTTGGGAAAGAGCTGTCCGAATAGAACTTTCTTCTTACCTATGAAACACGGAGGGAATGAGGAGGATTCGGCCCTGTGGACGTTACGTGGTCTTAGCTGGAAGTGTCTAAGTGCGTGTGAATTTATTTTGTGGGTGTATACTTTCATAGTAAACTGTCTTATTTGAAATGATCGTAGAAAAATGGACGTGCGTAGAGAAAAGTTCATGCATTTTTAATGTTATGTCACCCCCAGTTTATAAGGAAACGTATCATACCAAAAACATTGGTCCGGAGAAGCAGGCATGTAGTTTCAGTTATCGGTTTTTTTTTTTTTTTTAATCTATACCCGCACTGGTTTCTTCTTTTTAGAAGAGTTGCGGCTTAGCGGAGATTTATGACGATAAGTTGATATTTTTGAATTAACTGACTACAACCTGTTGCAAAGTCACTTATCCATTTTCGATTTTTTTTAAAAATTTATTCAAACTATCATCTATTAGTCGAAAATGGAGCACTTTTTTTTTCATTTTTTTTTTTTTTTTTTACGACGTCCACAAAATTCATAGATTTTATTTTTAACGTTTTATTTATTTTTGCTGGAGTTTGCCGTGATATAAAAAGTCATTCTTTCTTTACGTTAGGATACGGGACTAGGTTTATTTCGAAAGTCGGAGAAAATATATGTTTATTTCGAGAGTCGGAGGAAAGGCACCATTCAGACATTGCTTAACCTTTGACGAGCTCCGTAGCCGAGAGGTCAAAGCACGCCATCATCTTTTGCAGGTTTTGATATTTGTTTTTAACCATTCAACCCCAACCAGTTATTTTGATTATTGGGTTCACCCCCACCCAACTTCATCTCATTTATAAACTTTCATGTATTTTGTAATAAGATTTAAAAAAAATAATTATCTTTACATATTAAGAAATTCTTATCAACATCAGGTTTTATTAGGCCCCCTGTGAAGATGTGGTATTATGGTACATGCTGGGACTGATTGGGAGAAGGATGGGTTCTTGTGTTGATTGCGGCTTTAGAGTGAAGGAGTCGCGAGTCGGTTTAGGTAGGTGTAGGATATTCAGCCTTGACCAGCCTTCTCCCTCACTACCACTTCACCCTTGTACCATAAATTAATGCATAAAAACATTAAATAAACAATTCACACCCAACCAAAGCGATAAAAGCCATTAAGGTGCAAGAGCTTGCCGAGAAACAGGAAGGGCAATAAAAGAATAGGATTCAAGGAGACAAACTAACATTACATTTAAATTTTTGAAGATCTTAGTTGATAAGAAACAGTAATATCTGTCTTCCTGTATGACGGTGAATGCTGGACAATCTCCGAACAGATAAAGAAGACTGAGGCGATAGAAATCTAGTTCTACAGGAGGATGCTGAGTTGCTATTGACTGAACATGTGAGCAGTGATGAAGTTTTAGAACATTTGCTGGTGTATCAATCAGTTTCTCGTGACGTGGTTTTCCTCAAATGTTCTACAAATAGTTTCATTGTAATTGTTCCGGTGAGCTTTCCTCCTTAGTGTCGCGATTGCATGAATTTAAACGTGCTACTAGATTGGCAATTAGGTCCCACCGTTTTACTGTTGAGCACGCTAGATGCAACCCTATGTTCTATTCTAATAGTTTCTTTTCTCACACTTGGACGCTTGTGGAACTCCCTTGCTACCCTATCAACTAGAATCTTTAGAAATTTAAATGCAATAGGCAGCTGTTGTTTCCCCTGAAATTTATTATTTAATTGTCCTTTCTCTTCTCTAAAGTCTTCTCGAAATACTGATTTCACTGAAGCAGGCCGAAGCGTCATTCCTCCTATATGGAAATTTAATCCCAGATGAAGAACAGACTTGAGGCATTTCACCTCAGCCAAAACACATGAGGAAAGAGGGCTTGGAAACTTTGATGCTCACGAAGCATATTGAAGTCAAGAGGAACAGAGGAAAACAGTGCATGACCTACCTAACGAACTTGTATAAATAGTTGGCAGAACAGGGATTAGGGGAGATATAAAAACAAAATTTACTAAGAGCTATAAAGTAGAGGAAGTTTTGGAGAGCCATGATCGCCAACGCCCTGTGCATCGAATACTGCTGCCATATCTGTCTATTTTCAGGGCATTTGGTGTCCCGATTGCATGAATTTGAACGTGCTACTAGATTGGCAACTAGGTCTCACCGTTTTACTTTTGAGCTCGCTAGATGCAACCCTATGTTCTATTCTAATGGTGTCTTCTCTCACACGTCGCCTATGAAACTCCTTTGCTACCCTATCACCTAGAATCTTTAGATATTTAAATGCAATAGGCATCTGCTGCTTTCCTGAAATCTAGGTATTTATACAGATGTCACAGCCATTTACTCCAAGTCCGACAGATTCGACAAAGTAAACCTTGTTCTAAGTATTTTTATCAGATGTTACTATTGGTTTGACTTAGAAGGTACCCTCAAATCTACCAAATGCAGAATGGGGCCCTCGATGTATACCAGAAAGTGCACCAACAAAGTAGTAAACCTGGACTTAGATATACAAATACAAGACAACCGAAACACACCTCGAAAGAAGATCGAACGTTCGAAGAAAGACACGAAACCATATACCCTCGATTCAGTCGACGTTAATTTGACGGAATCGAGGAGTGAAAGAACAATTATTTTACGTATGGAAAATTTAGCTTCGTATTCTTATCAGGTGTTACTAATATGACACTGGTAACATATATAATATGTAAGTGGTGTCAACATCTATGACGAAAGAAAGGAGATCCAGAGATGTTACAAAAGGAGTTTCGCAGAAGAGCTTGAGAAATAACATAATCAGTAGAGAGTAAGATGAAGATCCGAATCGGGATTTAATTCAGGTGGTTTTTGTTTTTAATCATTTTATCCCGTATAAGGTATTAATGTCACTAAAAAGCAAGGAGTTACTGGTAGTGAAATAGGACAAGAAGACTTTAGGACGAACCGGAAACCCAATCCTAAACAGGAAACAATAGTATTACCAGTATAATCCAGTGAGGTTGCGGAGTAGATATCACCCGGCACTTAACCCCCGATCCGACCAGATTGATGATTGGGCCAGCATTTATTATAGGGGCTATGTATTTTGCTATCGACGTAACACTGCTAAACTGCTAATATCGACAAAGAATAAAGTTATAGCCACGGTATTTTGCTTAAGTGTTTTTTGTACCCACATGGTGGAAATAGAAAAAGGAAATCATTTTGGTTAATCGATGGATTAAGAAAAAAAAGTGACTGCATGAATTTGAACGTGCTACTAGATTGGCAACTAGGTCTCACCGTTTTACTCTTGAGGTCCCTAGATGCAACCCTATGTTCTATTCTAAGAGTTTTTCTCACACTTGTCGCTTGCGGAACTCCCTTGCTACCCTATCAACTA